TTCTATAAGTCTATAAGAGAATATACCAAGATATTTTATATTTCTGTGTGTACTAAAAAGTAGATTGAGCATATAGAGACTAACAGTGTGTTTGGCTTGCTTATACTATATTTGTGTATCAATTATCCACACTTCGTTTTTAATTATAAAAACAGTTTTCAACAGTTCGTTTCTGCTGTAAAATGTTCTATATATCTACATAATTGAATTAAGTTAAATATGAAATGCATATCAAGGTTTTACTTTCTACATCTGACGCTGATCGCATTGAGCCACGTATAAGATTAAATATCAATCAAATATTGTCTATCAGCATTCGCACATATAAAAGCACTATGTTAAAGTAATTTCTTCCTTTAACATAAAGAAAAAAAAACCTTTCTTGATATTAATACATTTTTAAAACCGCCAACATCCTTTTATTACTCTAATATTATTCTTATATTTTAACAATAAATAAATGTGCGGAAATATTTATTCCATAATTTAAAAAACAATTTATGCATTAGCGTTTAAGCAATAAATGCTTTTGATAACAGCAATAAATAATTGCATAAATTTTTGAGAATGCCTAATATTGTAAAATTATGAAAAGTAAATAAACTTAAAGGATCGCATCAAAACAAAAAAATAAAAAATAAAAGAAATATGAAAAGAAGGCTCATCTAATAAATGCTGTGAATATATTGAATACACATTAAGCACCCAAAAATCAAAATTCAAACAACATCTTATCACGGATTACAAGGAGCAGCCTTTCTGTCTCCATTGCTCACTTCAAGCTCTTGCAGCCTTTATTGGCATTTCAGGAATACTTTGTGTTACTACTTTTTTTATTGAATATTCCTCATCTTGGCATATACGGCAACGTACAAGTAAAAAATTGCCGCAGTTCACATAAAAATGCTATAAATGCCGTTTTATCGATTTTTGAATATTTTACAAATTTATGTCCTTTTGATAGAATTTTTAAGTTGTCGAAAGTTGAGAAAGACGCACCTTTTGCTACTTGCCAAGCTTAAAGTATTATGAAAATCTTTTCGTTTTTATTTTTGCCTTTATTTGTTTCTGAAATAAAATAACTTAGGCAACGAGCAATGGCTGAGCTCTCCTTGAAACAAAATTTTTTCAGTCCTGCATATTTTTTTGATAATAAAATTTCGCAAAAATTTGCAAGTTAAATAAACTTAAACGTTGGAATTGTTAGTGCTCAAGCCAAAATACCTCACCGGATTTTAAAGGCACTGGTCAGTTTTGCGAGTGGAGAGAACAAACGAAATGACATTTTCGTTTTTATTTTTAAGTTTGGTTGCCATATCTCAGTTTCATTTTATGCGGTTTTACGGTAATACTTGGAAGTTCCGCAGTACGGCAACGTGTTCAAAGCAGCCACAATTAAGTGAGCAGCGGTTTTAGCTGCCATTTTTATGGATTTTATTTTTATTTTTTGCTAAATTCTTTTTTTTTTAGTTTGGAGGATCTTACACGCTTTGTCGAGTATATCTGGCTGTTCTTTTAAAGCCAAAATTTCAAATAGAAATTCCAAATTTTATGAGTTATTATTTTCTTACTTGATTCGTAGTAAAGCAAATTTAAGGACTTAAAAACTTTTTAATCAGGATTTTTTTATTATGCCAATTAACTGAGTTTTTAATATTTGACGTGCAGTTGTGCAGATTATTTCAAGAAGTATTACAAGTTTTAGGTATTAAAGTATCTTTCAGTGACTTGACTTATATAAAATTTGTTAGTTCTTAGTTATATGTAAGTCAATTTATTTTACTTTTCACCAATCATTCTTAACGTGGGGCATAAGCGATATAGAAATAAATTTGATTAATAAGTTAAAAAGATAACTTGAAATTAGACGTACATTGACAATATTAATTTTGAAACAACATTGAATAGAAAGTTCTGTCGCCTACAAGCCTTAAGAACAAATGTATGAATGCACGAATCAAAGAAGATTGTTTGTGAAGAAAGTGAAGAACATAGAAAGTGTTTCATCTCTCGCGCGCGGAAAGGAATAAATATTCGACTGATCTATTTTCCTTGCCAAACGTTTATTATGTAGCAAATAATGTGTAGAGAGAACATTTAAATACTTGTTGTCTTGAGACTTACAAGTAAAGAAATATTACATTTTAGACAAGAAATTCGTCGAGATATTATAATATAATATTATAATAAGATATTATAATAATATATTAAGATAAGATAAGATATAATAAGATATTATAATATATATAAATACCACTAAAATAACATTTTTACCTCAAATAAATTAAAATCAAATTATATTACATAATTTGCAAAATACTTTTCTAGGTAAATAAATTTGAATTAATTTGTTAGGTTAGGTTAGGCTATACCGGCGATCCCAAGCCATCATCTTAGACCTACAGGCTCATTGTGTTACCGTATAATTAAACTTTTAGCAAACCTTATAATGCTATTTAAGGGGAGGTCTTGTAGTTCGCCAAGATTCTCAAAAAAGAAATCCCCTGAAGTGGTAAGGCGGCGCGAGACATGTACTGGACAAAAGCAAGGCAGATAGGAGACACTTTCATCGTCCTTACCACAACTTCTACCATGGTTCCCTAAAAGCAGTGACCTGTATGTAAATATACAACAAGACTGATATCTCTACGTGGCAATTTAATCAGGGAGTTGTCTTTCCTTTATTTCAAAATGCTCAAATTTCATACAGATGCATGCATGTCTTTGAGTCTTTCCATCTTTTCTTAAAAAGTTCTGAGTTCGGAAGAACTCAGTTAACAGTTTACATGATGCCATTGGTATGCTCAATTAGTTAAGGTGTTAAGGTGCTTTATAATTGCCGAAATTTACCTATAACCCAGAACCCATATTAGAGAAATATTGAACTGCGACGACATCTCATTTGGAGATGTGTATCAGTCAAAGACTGTTATTATGACGAAACTATTTTCTTAAAAGAAACTATTTTTTTATGAAAAGGTTTTTGACAGTAATTACAACAACAAAATTTTGGGTTATTGAAAATATATCATAAATGTAAGTATTGTTAAACAATTTTTGAGACTGCAAGTACTAATGGTTAAGCTTGTATCCTGTTAAATTTGATTTTTGTTTTGTAGACACCTACCTACAAAATCATTTTTTATGAATATACCCGTTTATACAGGTTACAATCCGCGTATCAGTTGAAAGCAGTAAATTAATGTAGGAATAAATGCAACAATCAATCTACATATTTATCAGATATGTTAGAGATTTGACTTTTGCTCAAAAGATTTGTCTTAATTGCCTTATATCTTTACAAAAAATGACACTGAGTACTTTTTCATAAACATTTGCACACAACTTGTCCAAAATGATACAGTGATAATCTAAGTTAGTTTTAGATGTCTTTTGTCAACAATAATTATTTTTCATTTAACTTATAGAATGTACTTAACGACATAGTTGGATAGTGGTTAGTTCAAATGACTCTTCTGATATACCTACAACCGAAATTTTTGCTTGAAAGGCACTCAACAATATAAACCGATGTAGTGAAAAATTATACACGTTCCGTAAAATATT